TAGGTACACATTTTGGTGTACCTACCATATTTTCCAAAGGATTTATAAACACTAAAGAAAAAAAAAATTAGTTCTTGGAATTTCTGAGGTGTCAAATTAAAGCACTTAAAAGTTTGGGTTGTAGTAGGCTGTCAGCTCTATGAGCACAAGAACCATGTCTGTTTTGTCTACCTCCATATATCCAGGGCTTACCACAGTGCTTGGCTCAGTAAGGGTTTTTCCTTTTGATAGCAGTGGTCTAACTCTTTCAGTGTGTGGTCTAAAAACACATCCTGATAAACCTGGGGGAAAATTGTTAGGTACAGAGAACAGTTGTATAAAATGGGTCATTTACCTTTATAGATGTGTACTGTATTTCCTCTATTAGTTTTTGGTATTTCCGAATTTCTTGTATTATTTTCTCATAATGATGGTTTTCTGCAAGGAAAGATTCAACATCTTGCTCAGCTTTTCTGGTGATCAAAAAATCATACTTGTCATAGAGTCTGAGGTGTTCGGTAGGTGCCACACTCTCTTTCATTACCACTTCCTTAATCTTTTCTTTATGAGCATTGACAATTTCATTCAGAATTACTGGCTTCAAGGTTGCTGGTTTAGAGTTATTTTCCTAAACAAAGGGAAAATATGTTAGTTATTTAAAATACCTTAAATTAAGGTAACTGTGTCATTTATCTTTGTAAAAATGCCAATCTTACCATATTGGCATTTTTGTTTTAAATTCACAAGGTCTTTTTTATTTTCTTTTTCTTTTTCAAAGTTTTATTGGGGAATTGGGGAGGGGAGCATTGTTGGGAAATTGGGGAGGGGAACATTGTGTTTTTCCAAGACTCATCAGCTCCAAGTCAAGTTGTTGTCTTTCAATCTTAGTTGTGGAGGGCTCAGCTCAGCTCCAAGTCCAGTAGCTACTTTCAATCTAGTTGAATAATTATTCTGAATAATAACTAAAAAATTCAAGACAGTGATCCTTTTGCTAGAAGACAGAGGGATAGGATGTGAAGAGGGTGGGGCAATATGGGGTGGGGAAGGCTTAAAGGTATCAGTAATAACCTATTGCTTAAGTTGGATTATAAGTACACAGGTATTAAGTTTATTACTACTTAAAACTGTACACGTTAGTCTCCTGTATTCTTTTGTATGCATGAAATTTTTATAAACTATTTTTAAAATA